CAATGATAAATATACCAATGATAATAAGGAATGAAGGGGATCCATTGACAACTTACAAACTTTCACTGATTTGGGGAAAATGTAATATATATGGAAGAATATTTATAGCACAATGTAAAGTGAAATACACAACAGAGAATTCAGGTTATTAGTGGTGGAAATCAGAATTTCCAGATAAACTTCGGGATCAGCAGGTATTTGTGCAGAGAAAGCAGAAACACAGTGGAACTTCTGTGGTTCATGTTAACTCTATGGCTGGCATCTACCTGTTGGCAGACAGGTGAGCAATCCAGAATTGCTTCCCAAGACAATGATGATGCAAAATTCTTTTTTTTTGTAACAATATTTAAAAACTATGGGCTGAGAGAAAAGCAGTTTTTAATATGGGCCAATATTATGAACTAACAGCAGAACCCATCATTCTGAAATTTGAGACAGTTGAAGTAAGAAAGTAGAGAAATGGAAACACCACAGAGAGGCAGCCAGGCTTCCTCGGAGTTCAAGTCAGTGACTTTGTCAACAACAACAACAAAAAGGCAATATTTCAAATAACCAGTTTCTGAAAGAGACCTGTTGAGGAACTAGTTCTACTTATACAATTGTGGAGATGACATAAGCCAGTTACCATTTCCCTACATGAACAATCAAAGCATCATCTCTAGGCATGAATGGGAAATCAAAACTTATGAGGCATTCTGAAGAGCATCAGACTGACACTCAGAAATGTTGATTCCAAAAGAAAATTTCAAGTCTGAACCCAAAATCAAGAAAAGACAAAATCAAAATTTAAAAAGAAAACATAGACTACTGCCCCTAAGAAACATGTATGGCACATTCTAATGATAGTTTATCAAATTAAGTCCAAAACTGTATATAATGGGAAATACAACATAGCCAAGGAAGATATATCCCAGTAATAAAAGATGTTGTTGTTGTTGTTCAAAAGCTAATCACATTATCAACCTAAAGACAAGTAAAATTGTCACCAGGAAGATTCCTAGAGGTCAATTGAAGAGGAAATAATGACCTCAATTCTGCCTACCAAGGAGATTCTTGACTCATGTCAGGGAAAAAAGTATTTAAGGACACATTACTGTGAGGCATAAAAAGGTTTATTAGGCAGAGTTTGATGCTAAGGAAGAAAAGTAAAAGACTTCAGCTTTACTAACTAGAAGGGGCTCACTTTCAGCCAGGTGTTCAGACTGATCCATTCACAAAAGCATATGGCCAGATTTTAAAGACTAGCTGATCAGTCCTAATTTATGTAGCTCTAGAAGAATCCTTATGGCTTAAAGAGAATTCTGTTCTCATGATTGGCTTTGCTTATTAAAACCATATGTTGGAAAAGCTAGTAATTAAGAATTGCCAAAACACATTTCAGTCTTATTTTGCTGTCCTTAGTTTTGAAGGGGAAAAAGATAGACTAGCTAAGGTTAGGGCTAAGAAATTTTGTAATACAAACATTCCCTGGGTAGTAAAAATGTGTTGTAGGTTAGATCTAAAACATCCCTCAAAAGTCTCGTGTGCTCTTACGTGGATCTTTTGGAAGAGGAGTATATCACGGGGCACTATACTCATCACTAACGTGCCATTAGTGAGTTCATGCATGGATGTACTGTTGGAAGGCTGATGAAGGAGGTGGGTCACTTGAACCATGACCTAGAATGATATATTCTTCTCGCCAGCTTTTTTTTTCCTGCTTCCTGCCCTCCATGTTGAGCAGTTTTTCTCCACTATGCTCTTCTGCTATACTGTTTCTACTTTGTACCCAGCCAACCATGGACTGGTCCTCTTGAAACCATGAGCCAAAATAAATCTATTCACCTTTAAATTGCAAGTATTGGGTATTTTGTCCCATCAATAAGAAACCTGGTCAATACATAAAACTGATACCAGAAAGGCAGATTCATTGCTGTGATTGCACCCATGTAGTTTAAAAGCCTATAGAACTAATTTGTGGGATGAATTTGAAATATTTGAAGATGAAAGCTGCAAAACCTTAGAATTCTCTAAGCAGAGCCAATTGGCAAATTTTGGGGGAAGCTCAGAAGAGGAGAATGCTGATAGAAATCTTGAGAGCAAAGGTTTGGCTTGGGAGATTTCAGTTTGGAATAAGGACTTCATTGGCATTTGGGCTACAGGCCATGTACATAAAATTCTAGCAAAAACTGTCTTCATTTTTCCTGAATCCTAATGCAATGTATGAGGCTTAATTTAAGTTAATCTGGCAGAAGAAATTTCAAGACAGCCCAGAGTTTTAAGACTGTGGCATGAGTACTGCTAGCCGCTTTCAGCCATATTTACAAAGAATCAAGAAAAAAGAATCTCAGAAATGGATGACAGGTGATGTCTTACACATGTTCCAAACAACTGGGCAGAAGAGGCAGGCCCTTAACCCTTGCTGCTTAAACAGGTAGACGAGCCTGTTCTCTTAGGCCAAGACTACCGCTTGAATTATGACAGAATGCAAGGTGGAGACTTTAAAGTACCCAGAGTGGAAGCAGTGTCCCTAGTGCTGAATGCATGCTGCCACAATCCACATTTACCAAGTGGAGCTTCACCCAAGCTTAGAACACCCCATGCAAACACAAGTTGCCCAGGGACTGGTGCTAGATGTCAAATAGTCCCTGGCAGGCTTGGATTGTAGCAGGGTAGCGACTGGAGTGCAGAGTATGGATTTAAACTGGACTAGTATTAGCTCTATGTTCTAGATGAATGTCTTGGTGTTTGTCTTAGTTACTTTTCTCCTTGCTGAGACAAATACCCAACACCCATAAGTTAAGAGTGAGTTTATTTCGCTCAGTTTGTAGAGGTTTCCATTCACAATCAACTGGCTCCAAGGTAAGATGGTATGGCAGAGGGGCATCACAGAGAAGAAACTGTCCACGGTAAAACAGAACTGACAGAAGACCGCAAGCAGCAAGTCCAAGCAACAAGCCTCTGTCTCTTATGTTGTATCCAGGCTACTGGCACTTAGTTTTACTCACTGTTAGCACTCATATCCTTAATCCTAGCACCCTTAATCATAGTATTGCACTATGCATTAACCCCAGTGTCACATACTCTCTAGATCCAGCCACCTTTGGGAAGCCCCATCTGTGACTGCATGAGACTGTGTGAGTATATTTCGACAGAGCTGTAATAGTGTGGCATAAACCATCGGCTCCCAGCAGTGACTCAGATGTGCCTGGCCAATATTGAAGACCCCTAACACAGACAGCTGTCAGTTTTTATCCTTTTAGAATCTGATGCAGAGAAAGCAGTTTCTGTCCCTTATTTCTCGACCCTGGTGTGTGCTAGCGAAACGCTGCCAGGCTGAAGTTTCCTCTGTGTTTGGAGAGGAACCAATGACAAAGGGTTCATATACTCTACATCTACCCTATGAGACTAGACTCTCTTCAGCTGCTTTGACCCACCACTGTTTGGAAACTTCTAAAAATACCTGTTAATTTGCTTTTTCATTTTTATAAGGGCTCATGGCTGAGAGTTTACCATGAGTTGGTCACTGAATTGCATCCTATATGAGTTGAACATGAGCCGTTAGGGGTCCAGAAGTAGAGTGCTATACTTTAAATGTAAAGTGGCACCCAAAAAGCCTCCTGTGGTCAGAACTGTGGCTTTTGGAAAGTGATTGAATCCCACCTTTGTTGCTGGATTAATCCACTCATTTGTTCATAGCTGAAAATGCTAATAGGTGGTAGGAGCTTATTGGAGGAGGTAGATCACTGGGGCCATGATTTTAGGAAGGTGTAGCTTGTTCCCAGTCTCTCTCTTGCTCTCTCTCTTCTCAGCTTCCATGAGTTCAGGAGCTTTACTCAGTCATGCTTTCTATAAGGCTGTTTCAATTTTGGAGCCACAGACTAATTCATAGAATAAAATATTTTAAACTAGGAGTCAAAATAAGTTTTTTTTTCTAAGTGGTGGAAGTGGTGGATATTTTGTCCAATGACAGAAAATTGACTAATACAGCATACCAACATGCAGAGTTGAGAAAAATATGTCCCAGAGTTTCAAAGTAATTTCATAGCTGGGCATGGTGGTACACCCTGTAATCCCAGCACTTGGGTGGCTGAGGCAGGCAGATTACCAAGAGTTGGAGGCTAATATGAGCTACATAATGAGTCCAAGACCAGCATGAACTAACAAGACCCTGTGTTTCTTTAAGTAATTATAGAGACTAAAACCAGTGTTCCTTTTCTCCTTTTTACCTATCTTTATTTGTTCTCTACCTCAAAACCATGTGGTCATCTCAAAGACAAAGAAAAATTATGTGACATAATCCAACATCTATTTCTGATCTTAAAAAAATAAATATATAGTTCACAACAAATTAGGTAAAGGAGATTTTCTAACTTGATATAGAACATTTATGAAAAACTGACAACTAACATCATATTTAATGACGAATGACAGTATGCTTTTCCTAAAATTAGGAAGGAGAAAAATATGTCTGGTTTTGCTACTTCTAATGAACAACCAATCAAACAAGGTAAGAAACCTAAATGAAAAGAATCTATGTGAAGAAGCAAAAAAGAAATACTTTTTGTTAGTAGCAGATACAGGGACTACAAAAAAGCTACAAGGATTTTTAGCAAGGTTGTAGAAACAAGACAAATACACAAAAACTAATTATGTTTCTGCATGCTTGCAACATATAATCAGAAACTGAAATTAAAGAACAAGTTTATAGCGACATAAAAATGGAAAATACATAGAACTAGATCTGACAGAAGCTGTGTAATAAATACATACTGAAAATTACAAAGTGATAGTAAGACAAATTAGAGACCTTAGAAGTGAAGAAATGAGTTTTGTTCATGGATTGGAATATTTGATATTGCTAATATCTGTTCTCTTTAATGTGATTATCCACACAATCTTAATCAAAATTCCAGAAAGCTATTATACAAGTGAACAAACTAACAAGTCTGAAATTCACAGGGACAAACACAACACTAAACACAGCAAAAACAATTTTATAAATATGCTATGTTGGAAAATTTACTAGTTTTTAAAATTTATTATTAAGATATAATAATAAAGACAATATGGTATTGGCATCAAGAAGATCAATACAATTCAATGAACCCCAAAAATACTACTACAAATGTATGATCCATAAAATTTTGACAAAGATTGAAATTGAGTGGAGAAAGAGTAGTCTTCAATATGTGAGAAAATATGAAGTCAAAAAGGATCATGACCTAAATATAAAATGAATACTATTAACATCCCAAAAGACGTAAGAAGTAATTCTTATATTCTTGAGTTAGGCAAGGAGTCCTTAGATATGATAACAAAAGGAGTACAGATGCCAAAAAAATTAATACATTAAACTTCACGGAAATTAAGAGCTCCTGCTTTTCAAAAGTACTTTATCAAAGGAAAAGTCCAAGACATGATCTATGATAACAAATGTATACAAATCATATATCTGATAATCATATATTGTTTCCAAGGCACAAAATTATCAAAATACAGTAAGAAAATAAAACTAAAAGCTACAAAATATGGGTGAGAAATTTTATTCACCAAAAAGCAAATATGGATGGTAAATGACCACATGAAAAAATACTGAACATAATTGGTCATTAGGTAAATGCAAACTAAAGTCACAATAAAATACCACAATGTATCGAAAATAATATCTGACCATAACAACCATGGGCAAGGATGTAGGGCAACTAACCAAAATTCTGATAGGCTTTATTGGGAATGCTAAATGATACAACCACTTTGGGAAACAATTTGGTAGTTTATTAAGAATTTAAGGATATATCTTTAATGTAACCAGACATCCCACTCTTAGGCATCTACCCAAAATAAATGAAAAATTAAATCCCTAAAAATATGTACATTCATAACAACATTCTATGCAACAGCCAAACATCGGTGACAACCCGAATATCCATCAAGCTGTAACTGGATTAAAAACGGTGGTATATCTATACAATGATATATTACTTAGCAATTATTGAAATATATAATATTGAAGAATCTCAAAATAGTTGTGCTGATTGCTAGAAGCCATATGAAAAGGGTGGGTGATTTCATGTAAATAAGATTGTAGAAACTAAAATTAAGCTATAGTGATAGAATGCAGATCATTGTCTCCCTGAGGAATGAGGCTAAGTGGTTAAGGAGGGAACAGAAGGAGATTACAAAGGTTCAACAAAATGTCTGGAGGTATGATAAACACGGCATTGTTTTAAAAGTGGAGATGGTTTCATGGATGCATGTATGAACCAGAACTTACCAAATTGTATGTGATAAACATATAAAGTTTATTCTGGTTCAATTATACCTCAATAAAGGTATATTTCTACGTTAGAAGTACCAGTAAGATCAAAACCCAGATGCATACTTTCCAGTTCTGTGGATTAATCTTTTGGCCAAATATACCTTGGAAAACAAGGTTTCTGAAATGAATATGGCTTGAGAATATATTCTAGCTTGGTAAATTTTAAGTAACAGCTATAATATGACTGTGTCTATTAACTGTGAATCAAAAGTAGGATCAAGACTAACCCGTTTAGTCAGTAGTGTAAATAGAAACATAAGCAAGAATGTAAATCAGTAAAACTTTTGGAGACCAATTCAGAAGTCTCAAAATATATCCACCCTTTATCTTGACAGGATGATTTTAAGGAATATAGCTCCAAAAATTAAGAGTGAGAGCAGATATCAAGGTTGTTCATAACCATGTAATATATTATGTAAACAATTTTGCCTACATCTCTTAAGTAGGTTCAAATATAGAACTAGGAATATCATAAAATACTATGCATATCAAATTGATGGCATAGAAAGATAACTATCTTAAGGAAAGTTTATCATAAATACGGATAAAAGTAAGCTACCAAAGTTATGATTAATGTGCTAAAATGCTTATGAATTTATATTTGCACACATAGAATAGGGAGGAGAAAGTCCGAGGATATACAACTAACCAGAAGTGTATCATATTTCTAAGAAGTATGAAGGTGTGAAGGTTCCTTTGGTAATTCTGAGGGGGGTTTCAAAGGAAAGGCCACAGAAGATGATGACCTGGCATATTTGAATGATTTGTGTCTCACCATGGTCCTGAAGTTCACTGCTGAGCCCTTGAATTGTATGTAAGTCTTATGGAAATAAGTTCTAAAGAAGCTGTTTCTATCAGAAGCTACATGAAATGTGGGTCATGAAGAGCCACTGTGTGAGATGTGATAACAGTGCTATGTTAACTGCCTGTAATAAGTGGCTACAGTGTAACCCTATAGAACAACAGGGTTCACTCCTCCCTAATTTTGTGTGCAATGGAATCTGGCATCCCCTGGAGAGACTAGCAATGGTGGTGGGCAGAATTCAAAGACTATCACAGGATAGAAAATCTCATTAAAGGCTGGGTCATTAATCAGTAAGATTTTTACAAACAATAGGCATAGACTTGCAGTGATATAAGAGGTATATCAAACATTTCAAAACAAGGGAAGCCTTCTTAACCCCAAACTCCACACATCTGAAGCCTCAGGAGCACTGCAACTGTCAGCAAAGACATTCACAAACCTCACCACTGCACACACTTTATTTTAACATTTCAGCCCCTGCACCAGTTTGGCCACATGGAATTTTAATGAAGGCAAAGTAGGCAGAGGGGAAAGAGTCACATACAGCTACAGAACCTCTTCATGGTGAACAGAACTTGCCACAGAACAAGATGCTATTGGTGCTGTGGTGCCAGATGAAGAAAAGAAAAGGGTGGTCTGCACAGAACTTTGGTTCTATACGAGCACACCGGGCATTCCGGATCACTGCAGTGACCCCCGCTGCCTCTGTTCCCTCTTCATTAACCTCCACAAAGCACTTGTGGGCAACCTTGGACAGCGGCACATTCTTTATAGTTGACATTCCCGAAAAGTCAACCTTGGACTCCTCAAAAGCATCAGTCATTCCTAAACATCGGAGAACAGATTCCAAGTCGTAACTCTCCTCCAGCTGAAATCTGGGAAGGAAAACTTCAATTTTAATTTTCTTCATGTTTGTTGGATTTGTCCAGGATCTGAACTTCTCATATGTAAGCGCTTTCTCCACCTGGAATAGGAAAGGATCAAATCTTAAAATCTAAAGAACAACAGGCTGGTACCCAACACCCACTTATTACCCTCTTTCTGTGATATAGAACTATATTATGATTTCTTGTCCAAAACAATCTACAGATACTTTTCTTGTTAGAAGCACACCAACCCTACCCTTAATTCTCAACCCTATTCTTGCATGTAAAAATCAAAGAGCTAGAAAATATCAGAGAGAAAGTTTTAAACACAATTTATACCAAATTTGCTTAACATATTAAAAATTGACATTTAGAAAAATATAACCAATTGGTCATATTAATATTCATCCAGTGGTAGGTCTGTGAAATGAAGAGACTAATAAAATAAAGAGTATGGTTCAGAGCTCTGATTCTGAGCTATCCAGGAATCCACTCAGGGCTGGAACAGGGCAGATCTTTCAGGGTCAAGAGGTGGCAATCATCTGAATATGAAAGGAGACCAAAATTTAGGAGGAAGTCAGAAATGGAGACTTCAAAGGACTGCTGCCTCTGACATTCTTGTTTGCCATGTCTGTCCTGCAGTTAGCTCCAAGTGCTCTGAGACTCATCACCCCTCCTTATCCACAAGGAAGAAAGAGGGGAGTGAGAGCAGCTTCTGCTTGTACCTCCTCCACCCTTCAGCAACTGGTGGTGAAGTGAGGGAGGCTTTCCAGGGGCAGCTGTTGGAACTTTGGCTCTGTTTTAGATTTCTAAATTTCCTATCACGTGGTGATGACAGGTCCCATTCTTGACTTGTGCCAATAGCTTTGTATTCCATAGAGAAACCAAGGAAATCAAGCAGTCTGTCACATTTAGGATGCTGATCACTGGTGTGCAAACATTTCCTTATATGTTTCTTAAACATCTGGTAGCCTAGACCCAGCAGTAGTAGGAGTATTTGTTTACACCATAGGAATTAGCAAACATTACAAATGAGGGCCTCCCTAACCTCCTAGAAAGGAAGTTTACTTGCATCCTGGTAATCCTGCATTTCCCACCTTGTAAGTTTGCATATTGTTTTCCTGAATTGTTTTCTATCATGAGAAGACTTGTCTCTCTTTCTGTCCACAGTAAATCTGCCATCAGTACCATAGACTTGGTATTCACAGTGTGACATATACAAGTGTAGCAAATTCCCATGGTGAATATACATACATACATATAAATATGTATGTATATTCATACTAGGAATCAAATACAGGACCTCACACTTGCCAGGCATTCATTATGTATTGAAAACATGTATTAATTTTTTAAAAATGTGTGATCCATGAACTAGCAGCACATGCTTTACAGAGAATCTTCTCGGAAATGCAAAATCTCAACTCACACTCTCCTAAATCAAAATCATTTTTACAATAAGATTGCCAAGAGGTTTATACACATGTTAATATTGAAAAACATTTCCAAGATCATTCCCTAGCCTTTTCCCGAGCCTTTGTTCAAGAAGTATTAGGACCTCTCTTCAAAATAAAGCATGTTGTTATATTTTTGGAACATTGTTTTCTTCATTTCCTTCTAGCCAGTCCTATATAGACACTCAAGAGAAACACATACACATGTTCACTGAAAGGCACACGCTGGTGCTCATGCAGCACTACTTGCAATTATCCATCACTGAAAACGCCTCAAATGCCATCTGGGAGATGGACTTAAGTAAGTTCGCCTGGAATCCACAGACACTTGGACTTAGTGACCAGTGCTCACCACAGCAAGATCAGTGTTCTCGTCAGGAAGCAGAATGACCATGCTCAGCTCCTCTTCCTCATAGGGCAGCTCCAAGACCTGGGTATTCATCTCCTCTATATAACCCATGTTAAAGTGTGCATGTTTGAACATCATCTGTACTGTTTTTTTCCCCTAGTAAAAACACCAAGTTAAAATTAGACTCCTGAAAAATGAGCACAATTTACTAAAATCAAGATATGTCTGGCTCATATAACTCCTAGACAAGCACAAGATAATACTTCTGAACACTAATGTTATTATAGTCTTCACACGCGTATCTTAGTATTGAGAAGCACACGCTATCATTGTTCCCTCAGATCATGTATTACGCAGGTGAGAGAATAGTGTGCTGAACATAGAAGGACATAAAACCCCGCTTTACTTTTAAAAGAAATTGTGTTTGCTTTTTTAAGAAAATTCATAGGTAAGGACCCCCATGGACCTTGTAATTAAAAATTACTTCTCCAAGTTAAGAGGAGCACTAACAAAATTCAGCCCTTAGGTTGAAAAATCTGGTTAGAAAAGATACAGATGTCAAAGGAAATTATACTTTTATTCTCAAAAGATGCCCAGTATATAATTGGTTTTATGGCTTTGATTTCCTTAGGGATGGGACCTTGACAAGATGCATAAGGTCAGCCATTGAAAAATTTCTTTGTATGATGTGCTATTATCAAATTGATGGAAGTCAAATTCCAACCTAAAAGTATTGACCATAGCCATTATCATATTTTAAAGGGAATGCAAAATACTGTTTTCAAAGTTAGCCTTAACATCTGCCACCAGTCTTTTTTTCCCTCAGAATTATACATTCTTGAATTCTGAGGCAAAAAAGTGAAGATGTTAAGTAATTACAGACAGTGATAGCTTAATATCAGCGTAATTCTAAGACTTAGAAGAAATTTCCCTCCAACCCAAATCGTGTGGATCAGAGATGGGAGATGAACTTGACCAAAGGGAAAAAAAAAAAACTAAAACTGCCTATGCAAACAATATTTTAGTTTCTGTCCTCTTCCCTCTAATTAAAGACAGACAGTGGGGAGCATTTAATTCATTCAGACCAAGATTAAGATTCAAGATAATGTGAAATGAATTTAGTTTTTCTATCTATCATCTTTCTTAATGACCTGAGAAGGTAGTAATACATGAGAAAATGCTCCCTACCTGGCCAGTTTTAAAGGGCATTCCTCTTGTGTACTTTTTGTCAAATTGCTCATTCCACTTTCCTTTGAAATACACAGCGTTCACAAGGACTAGCTTGGTCCGTGAACTGACGATCCCAGGGCTCAACACTTCTGAAATCTTACCTGGGAAGAATAGGAAAGACGTTTAGTGATCTGGGGAAAAATACGCATTCTTTTGCAATCTGCTTGATACATAAAGCCTAGGTTTGGTGAAGAGCCAATGTGGAGTCTTTCTTTCACAGACAGTGTATCACTTGCCCTTAAACAGTGATCCTGAGGTAGGCAGGGCAACTGTGGTTCTGTCTTCATAACTTGTAGATGTAGAAATGCAGGGTGAACACACTTCCCTTACTTTGCTGTCAAGTTCACAGAGGTAGGAAATGGCTAAGAAAATAGGTCTGCCTTGTGTGTTGTAGGATGTGTAACCAGTGAGGCTTTTTGAGAAATGTCACCAGATGGACAAAGCCATCCCTGCTTGAGAATCACTGCTCTGTTACAATCTACAGCTCTCATCTAGATAAAAAGTCTAGATGAGAGCTTTAAGGGATAAAAAGTTCCTTGAAGATGGGGGCTTTGGCTTATGAGGAGGTGGGAAGGAGGCAGACTAACTGAAAGGAATGAGTGGGGGCGGCATTAGGGAGATGGAACAGAAGAACCCAAATTGAGTTGTTCTATAAGAGAAGGAACCAGTGATCCCCAAGCTCCCTTCCAATTTTAATATTCTTGGCAAACATGTGGACTGTTAGCCAAAAAAAAGGAAGGGTCTTAGCAGCATACAGAAGTGATAGAAAAGGGGTGAGCAAGATGTGGAGAAACTTCTCGGGTGATTCAGTACTTCTGTGTCAATAGGAGAGTGAGAGCACACTGGACAGACTATGTGTACAGGCTGGTTCCTTCCCATGCTAATTATGTCACTGGCTGTGAGTATAATTGGGGCATGGCTGCTGCCTGGCACAATGCGTGTGTCATAAACAGTGGATGAAAGACACTGGTGATAGGTTGGCCTCTAAATTTCTTGTTAGTTATTTAGAATGTTTAAAAACATGCCCTCTTTTCTTTTTGTGACTTGTTTTGTTTTTGTGGTGATGGTGGTTGTTGTTGTTGGTTTGTTTGTTTGTTTGTTTGTCTGGTTTGAGGCAAGGTATCACTATGTAGTGCAGGCTGGCCTTGAACTCATTATCAGCCCATGCTGGTTTCAAATTCATTGTGATCCTCTGAGCTCAGCCTCCCATGTTCTGGGATTACAGGCACATGCCAACATGCCTGGCTCTTTTTTTCCATAATCAAGTTATGGACTGGAAAAATGGTTTCTGGTGGCATGGACAGGGGAGACTCCAGATTAGCAACACACACAGAATTTGCAGTAGATTCAGGAAAGATCACTTTGAAAACAAGTGTAGCCACAGTGAAGTCAGAGAAGAGGGAGTGGGCTTCAGGCAAACTAGTGAGCTGTTCACACTAACACAGCAAGGCAACGGGACAACTTATATCACTGTCGAATCTCAGCTACAATGTAAACGAATTCCCTCTGCCTCAGAGCATAGCATGGGTCTCCCCCACACAGAAGATAGTGAGGGCCACAAGAAGTAGTATTTATCAGGGATTTTCCAGCCCAGTCCATAGGGGAAAGGGGCTTGAGATTCTAATGAGTTTAATTTTTTTAAAAGTCACTACTTTCTGATCTGATAATTCCAAGAAAAACAGGATGTTGTGGCTAGCTTAAAATCTGAACAAACTAAGAAACAGCCCTCTGGTTCTAGCATTCATAGTATCCCAAGGCACAACACCATGAATTGCCCAGCCCCTTCCCTCTCCACCTCTGCTCCCAGGGCAGTGCCAAGTCCACCTAAATTAAAGTTTCTTACCTTCCGTCTTTTCTTTCACCCAATCATTGATGTGTTTCCTGCACTTTTCAGCATCTTTAGCAAAGGACAGCACCTCCATCTCTGCCTGATAGAATTTCTTACAGGATTCCTTGAAGGCCTACAAACACAAACACTGAGTTTGGTCCATTTGGCAAAGGTCCCCACAGCTAGGAAAGTGAAACTGAACCCACGATTTTCTTTCCTCGTAACAAGTTTCTATCATACATGCTTGCAGAGGTCATGCTGCCCTTTAAGACACACACATTCATGTAATACCCTAAATGTCAGACCACTTACTCTGTATGCATCATAGTCAGTGGATAAAGACATGACAGCTAACAAAGTGACACTCAGACTAAAGATACAGTCCATGTACACAGACAGTCACAACTGTGTGGATATCACCAAAAACAGCCCAGGACTGTCTCTGTTCAAACTCTTCATTGACTCTGATTTTCTGTTCTCTTACTAGGTGACCAATCTAACTCTCTTTTACTTTGACATAGGGTCTGAGACATATTTATTGAATGAGAGGTTCCATAGTAAAACTAAACTATCAAGAAACCATAGATCTACCCACAAACCAGTAAGAAAACAGCATTTTCTATTTGGGACATCATGATTAGCGGAAAAAGTAGAACAAAGAACTCCTCTGGAAATGGTGTGGAATAGGTATGGATCACAAAGTGTGTACAAGTGATCATGTGCATGTGTATACACGTGTGTACTTGTGTATTTATGTGTCAGGGAAGTTGAAATGTAAGTTCGGGTCAATTCAGGAAAGGCCTGTACATCATACATTAAAACCCAAATAATTCATCCCATAAAAATGTTTTCAGATATTCTGCAATTAGCTTCCATCTTCTGTCCATTCCGTGTTCTCAGATATTTTAGCTTCTGCCAAAGAGAGAATTCAGAGGAAAGAAGAAGCCAAGTAACTAAGAGACGTGTAAGTTGATGACCTGCACTCAAAGATTAAGCAGATGTTCAAAATGAATATTGGTTCCCTAGGGTATTCCTGGGATCTAGAGTCATCTCCAGTGATCAATAAACCCAGGCCAACCAAATTCCAGGGGCAGCATCTAAAAGTAGTCAAAGAGATAGGTATCTGAGTCTCAGGTATGAACCACTGGAACATCCAGGCAATAAGACAGTCATACCTAATCTGATAATTTCATTGATTTTAAACTAGCATCACCCTATATACTGTGTCGCATAATTTTTGGGATCTCACTTTCTAACTTATGGTAGCCACTGAGTGGAGCAGGTGATTTTGAAATTATATGCTGAAGTATGAACATATTTTCATTTTAAAAATACTAGTCTGTCAGTGGTGGGATTTATGAGGCAAAAAGAAGGGCCAGGCAGGTCTTGGGCAAACCAGTTAAGAACAACTGATAGGAACATGAAAGATAGTTAGTTTGAAAGCAAACACCAGTGGTGATTCAGAAGTAGGAGGAAATGTCAAGAGCCCCAAAAAGGCTGTCACAGCAGAAAGCAGCCCAACAAGCAGAGGTGGGAATAGGGGAAAATTCTGTAGTAAGTAGATGATGTGCTCAGGGACAGCGGCCCAAGGGAAGAGGTCTGTGTGCAGGAAGATGGGCGGACTGACTTTGATTCTGACGGGGATGTACCAGAAACAATTTGAAAAGAACACAGATCACAAGCAAGTATAAAAGTCAAAATTCTAATTGCAGAAGTATAATTCTAAGCACATTTTCCAGGAGATCAAATTGTGCTTTTATCTATTTTTAAACTTCTTATCAATGAGTGAATGCTGCTTACTGGGAGAAAATCACATGTTTCTTCTCCAAAGAGTCTGCCAACCATGCTAAGCAGGTACTTAGTGTCGGCTCTGTTAACTTCAGTGAGAAGAGACTGGAAACCTTCGTGGACATCTCCATCTGTGTTCAAATAAAGTGCCTGGGAATAGAAGACAGTGTGTGCTGTAAACATAGGCAGGATACTCCCCCAGAGAGCTATTTCCAAACAAATACCTAGAATGAAAATCACATAGACTTCTGCCTTAAAAGAAGTTTGGTTCAACTGTCCTTTTTAAATTTTGCAATGCTTTTCTCCGCTTGGGAGCATTCCAAGCAACATGTTTTTTTTATGATATATATTTTTAACACACAATAAATACATTCAGAAAGAATGGCTATCATCAAGAACTAAAGAAGAAAAGAAAAAAGAAAAACAGCACAGGGTTCTTCACCTTTAGCACTAGGAACACTTCGGATCTGACAGTTCCTTGTGATCTGAATGGTCCGGTACTCTATAGGATGTTTTGCAGAATGTCTGGTCTCTCCCCACCTAGAGGTCAGCACCACCTCTCAGTTATGAGAGCTAAAACTCCAGCTTTGCCAAATACTATACCCCTAGGGAAAGAAACTGCCCACCTAAGTGGGAAACAGTGGTCTGGGAGATTTGTCCATGTCAGGAAGGCATCCTGCAATAATTTAGGGGGAGGCAGAACAGAAAAAAAAGGTAGTTGGGCTGAATCTAATGTGACTCAGCGAGTGATTTTTTTAAAATCATTTTGTCTGTAATTTCATAATTGTTCAGACCAGATTATGGTTACACATCAGATTACAGTGAAAAAAAAAAAAAAAAAAGGTTTTTTCTGTGCCTTCCCATAACACATGTTGGAAGCTTCCCTCCTCCATAAGCTCAAACAACCACAGGAGACCACACCTGGGACCCTGGATATACTACTGGTTATCCACACATCCTTGGTGTTAGTGGCAAAAAGATGTCTATATGGCAATTTTCTGGAATCCATTCACCAGATGGTCAAAGAAATGTCCTAGCGCCTGCCTTGCAAGCAGGCAGTCGTGAGTTCGATCCCTGGCACCGATAAAAACGAAAAAGACAAAAAATAAAAAAATTAAAAAAAGAAATGTCCTGAAGTATTACCTACTACTGCATCTGAAGATAAGGATATAGATTGAAACTGAAACGTTTAAAATGAGCCAAATTAAAGATTTATTCTAAATAACCTCAGGAAATCTAAGATCACATTTAGTCACATTTCTCATCTACATATGCAAAATCATACATTAAAATAACCACTTTAAAAAGTTTACTTTCACAGCTGCACTTCCATTTAAAACATAACATTAGAAAAGTTTAAAATACAAGATTAAAATTCTTGGCTTTTGTGTGGAACAAAATTAAAGTTTACTTTATCAAAGGTGTGATTTCACCAATAAGTTTGATAATTTTACCTAGAGAAAATAAACTTTATGACCTATTTTCCCCCATAAACATTAGAGGAGATAATCTATACTGCACAATTCACCTTTATGCCCATGTCCACATTGTCAGAGTGGCTTCGTCCTAATCAACAGGACACACTAGCTGTCACCAGCTAGAAGGATAGTATGCAAAGACCAGCTCTATGGGAGCAAAAGAGTAACCTGCCTTTGTTCTCTTTTTTGGGAGAAGGGGTAGGTATGCATACCTGCGACATCTGGGCTGCAGTGTTTCCTTTTGCCCCCAGGAAGACCATAGCCAGGGAGGACGAGATGCTCAGTGGGCATATGAACACGTTTTGTGATTTGTCTTCTTCACCCAACATTTTGAATAAGCTGATGGCAAAAGTGCCATTTCCTTCACAGAGATCATCCATCTGGTAAGGTCTGGATGGAAGGCACAATAAAGAAACATATCAACAAGCTCGTGTACAGTCACACAGTCAGTGTCCCATCAGCAGACACCAAGTATGGTAGCTGAGATGACTGTGTCCTAAAAACATACCCTCCTAACCACTGAGCCCTGTGACTGCGTCTTCATAATTACAATGGCGATTCTGTAAATGTGACTGAATCAAGAATTCTGGATATGGGCATTGTCCTGAATTATTCAGATGAGGTTAAGGGAATCACAAGGGTTCTTACTAGAGGAAGACAGGAGCGTGGTCCAAAGTGTGAAAAGTTATAAAGACAGAAGCTGAGTGAGGTCAGAGTGATGGGAGGCCACACTGATCTAGGACTGGCTGCCTCTAGAAGCTGGGAAAGGAAAAGTAACAGATTATATCCTAAAGACATTACAATTGAGCCTTTTAGAGCTTTCAATGAGACAAACGGACCACCGGTGGCACACATGCCATAGGTTTGTCACCACTGCCCTAATTATCTCTGCCATAATGTTTGAAATTTATGACCTCCAGAACTGTAAGATAACCAATTGTGTTGTTTGCAGCCACTAAAATTGTGGGGAAGCTTGAACATTTTTTTCCCCACAAAATAGCCAAACAGTAGTCTATGACAAGTAACACTCTTCAAAATAAGGGGTCAGACACCGTCTAGTACTGACTCAGCCCCCTCTCAGTGTAACAGGGGCCAACAAGACTTCTTGCAAGAAAGTGTTCTCAGTGTTTCCCATAGCTCATCTCATTTTACCCTAATAATAACATGAGGTCAGTACACACATTAGCTCACATGAGAATGAGTAACCTAATCAGGGTATGGTAGCTACTTCCAGAGCTCTGAAGAAGTCATTAATAACCATAACCCACAGTTCAACTTCAGGGACTGAATTGTTAATCATTGCACAAAATCTCCCTATTGTTGTTGGTTCCCTTTGGCTTCCCTAACAGTTTTAAGAGTCACACATAACCCCTTGTAAATGAAAACGGCACTTTTTGTCATCATTTCATGTGAAAATGGCTGGATAGCTTGAACCAGATTTTGGAGAATGTATTTGGGATAATCTCATCTACATAAGGGCCACTAGGAAGATAAAGTTTACTTTGAATCATGGTAGCAGCAAAAATGATGCACGATTTTTGGCAAGAGTTGCTGAAACTAGGTGGTAGGAACTGCAAACAGAGTCTTTTATATAAACATACACATATATGCATTTAAATATAGATGTACACACACACACACACACACACACACACACACACACACACAGGGGAACACTATGAATCAGAAGCACCAATTTTTGGTAGTGGAAACTGAACTCAAGACCTTGCGTTTGTCAACCAGGCGCTTATGCCATTGAGTTACATCCCCAGCCAAGCCACTGATTTTGAATCTGTCTTGGCCAAGATGACCTTAATGTTTCCTTAAGCTTGACTAAATAGCAGTAAGGCTAAATTTGACATTTGACTAAGCAAACTAAATGGGTTATTCCCTGCCTCTGGGCCTTAACCTCCCTTTTCTCAAAACATTACTTAAAAAAAAAGGGAAAGCTTACAAATGTTAGTTCAGTTTCTCCCTTTAAAATGTAACTCTTGTTTTTAAAAAATCTCCTCCTGCTTTCACCTTCCAGGACAGTGTTTCCCTATCAACCAGTTTCTGTGGAAGACTAGGGAGACATCTTTCTCTAGGTGATAAAAAAATCACTGTGAGTTACTAATAATTACTATCATTTTAGTGAATTATTATGTCTTGCACTAATTCATCACATTTCTACTAAACCCTATAGATATGTGGCTCTTGTCCCATAAAATATGAATTTTGCTGAACATCTTTGCTCTAATGGTTAAAGATGTTTTGGAAAATAAAAAGACAAAGCATTACACATACTTTCATGACCCTAATGAACTATTTTTTTTCTATTAAGTCATCCTTTTGTCACATGCATGTATATTTTTAACTCAAAAACCTTGAAACCAAATGGAAAAATATGCTCCAGGTTAGAAAATCAACAAATAAGCCAAAACTATCACAAACTCCGTGTAGAAATAAGAATCACCATGCTCTTGTTCATTTCTGTAAACTTTATGATCTTTATGATCTTATAGTCTTCATTCTTCCTCCAGTTTCCTAGTGGACTGTAAAGTGCCTTACACAGCAGCTTTGAGATCATGTGCCCCTAGAGGAGGTCTTGCAGGCCTTACTTATCTCTCAGGCTCAAGAAAAGGAGAAGTGGAACATGCAGAACCAAGAAGAGCAACTAAGTCAACCAGAGCACTACATGGTCTGCTTACAAGTCCTCTCCTAGGAAACTTTTTCAAAAGGGGATAGCACTGAGGTTTTTTTTTTAAATCAGTTACAGTTTAGAACATAGAAAAGCAGTACTCTAATTATAAATCAGCAGTTCAAACCAATGAAAATTCCTTAAAATTTGAAAACAATGTGTTACATTTTCAACCAAGAAAATGTGATGGTGATATACTTTGTAGAACAGTACTCCATAATTAATAGATCACTTATTACATAACAAAATGTCAAAATTCCCATTGTCCCCACATCACAACATGTACTGTAGAAGCTGGAAGACCCATGTTTTCTCCCCCAGGCAAGTCTTCTAACCCTACACCAATACTTGTGACATATTATTATAGATAGCTAAGTTATTTAGAAATATTATGAACAGCCAGCTAAGGTTGGGCCCCAGGATTTGTCAGTGCAGAAAATACCTGTGGCTAGAGGCACATTTGTCAAGCTTCAAGACAAAACAAAAAGACCACACCCACGTACTTCCCATAGGGATGAGCAGCAGTAATTGATATCCTAAATAGGCACCAATTATGGTGGGTGGAGGACCAAAACCTCCGGAGCCCATTTCTTCCCGGAAATTCTTTGTTCATTCCTTGTACACTTGCCACATGACTTGCTTCCCCATTCTATCCCCATTTAATCAATACTACCTAAGGGACTATACTCTTAATTTCAATGGTTGACCAAAATTTTGTTCCGCCTTATACTCAGCTTATAATTTTCCATTGGGTCAATGTTACTAAATGATTACCTGTATAGTATCACTAATTAACTATAGTTTTCTCCCACATTATACCCACATCACAAAACTCCCTTAAAAACTGGGTTTCCCAGAGCTACCCATTCAGGACCCCCTTCTGTCCTTTAGATGCAAACTTTCTTTCTCTCAATAAATACTTCCTATTCTTAATCTTTGTTATTCCTAGAATTCATTCTTCAGTTTTAGAGAACATGAAATCAGTGTATTGGACACTTAGCAGGTTGAGAGTTATAATATTTCCCTTACATTATTTGCAGGGTTATATCATTCCTATGTCATATACCATACATCAATGTCAGAAACTCTAAGTCAAAAACTAATATTCAAACTTTGTAAAATTCAGGTCTCTAGGAGTTGGCAAGGGAGAAACCCAAAGAAAGGGAATTAGATAAACTGAATATGATACAGACACAAGTAAATTTGGCTCTGATCCTACCTTAGCACAGGAGTTTTAGATTCAAAGTGCAGCAGTCATGAACTTGAGCTGGTGACTGTGACTATATATATATATGCATTTGCATGTATTTCATCATCTTGTCTGCACTGGCAAAAACAATGAACTAAAGGATGACATCGTTTTAACTGCTTTGAATTGAAAACTCCTGTCTCTGGTTTCTTCCATCCTTCCTCTTCCTTTTCTCATCCCTTCACCTGCATCCCTTGTTAACATCCAGGTACTGGCCAGTGGCATAATATTCCCCATTCACCTCTGCCAGATGACAGCAGCACACACTGGTACAGACACACAAGCGCGTGCACACACACACACCACACACACACACACACACACACACACACACACACACACACACCAATGCTCCTCCAGGGCATGACATAAGCCCCTGCTTTTTTGAGGCTCCAATCTCATTTATATATTAATGCTTTTGAGATGGGGGCAGTAAACAAAATGGACCTTGCTTAATTCATGCAAAAAGGAACTGGTATCAAAAGCTTTTGAAAAGGGAGGAAATTTAAACAAAATGGAATTTGCCCAACACCTCTAAAAATATAAAATAATACCTTTAGATAGATACAAGCACTACATTAGATTCTAATCAAATATAGGAAAGTTTTATATCTAGCTAATTAAATGAATTTGCATTAAGCTAGTTTTCCTTTCCCAGATGAACAGACAAGGGCAAACACTGTCCACAGGGCTCCAGGAAAAGTCATGGATTCAGCCTCCAAAGCAAGTCTTGTGGTTCTAAGTATGTGTTACCTTTCTTTTCCTGGGAGCCTTAAATGCCTGTGAACGCCATGCTTCTCACCCCCACCCCATGCAAACATCCAATGGTGAATATGTTTAAAGAGTTTTTATGTACAACTTACATGTTTTGAGAGAAGAGAATGAAAATTTTTCTGACCGGAGTTCACAGACTAGGAAAGATACACACACTGAAATGCATGGTCTCAAGCCGCTCCTGTGCTCTAGATCAGGGTACCTTACCAAGGGCTACAAAATTTCAAACAAAAGAAAGAAAACTCTGTGGTAGTCAGGAAGTCTTTCCAAGAAGCTGACTCTGAAAGATTAGGCAGACATTGTGTAGGAGGTGAGAATGGGAAGCTGTAGGCTCAAGGATTTGCAGGGGCAAGGAAACAGGGAGTGCTTTCCTGTGAGACTGACAGGGATGAGAAAAAAAACGGACTTCTTACGCTTAATTTAAAAGTTTGAACTTAAGTTATGGTCTGGAAAGCCATATATTGGCTGGAAGGACTGGGCCTGTTTAGATAGGCAGGATCTGGTTGGTTTCCAGTCAGCGTCCTGCTATGTAGTTCAGGCTGGCTTAGAATTCACTGTGTAACCCAAACTGGTCTTGAACTTGTAGTGACTGATCCTCCTGCCTCAACCTCCCAAGTCCTGGGATGACAGGCAGATCCCATCATGCCCAACTCTATTTGTGGTTTTGAAATAAATATAGTATGTTGATTTTAGAACAATGACATGGTTCACTGTTCGGTGTGGAACAAAGCAGGGGAACCTGCTGATTGACCAGAACCATAGACCAGTGACTGCTGACAGGTCGGCAACCGGCACACTGAATAAATGGAATTTCCAGGCAGACAGACAGCTAGGAAAAGGGAGGGCCCGGGGAGGCAAGGATGGTCCCAAGGCTCCTAGCTAAATCTGTACTTGGTGTGGGTCATGCACTGCAGGAAGTGTCCATAAGGAGCCAGCTTGGAACGGGAAGGTGATTCATTCCATCTGCAATGTATACTACACCAAATGATCCTGGTGACAGTCAAGGGACCTTTGGAAATACAGGTGGGGCAGAAGATGAGTAGCTGTTCTAGAGCAAGCAGGTGGAAGTCATCTGTATCCTGATTCTAGGCCGTTCTACATGACTACCTGGAATTACCCAGAATACACCCACACCAGAGGAACAGGAGGAGAAACTCCCTTATTTCTGGGAATTTCCAATATCTGGGGGTCATAAAAGGAAGGGAAAGAGACTATGAAGCAGCAGTCAGGGGAGTGCTGGAGAACTGGGAAGGGGCCTTTCAGGTCCAGGAAGAGGACACCATCCAGCAGGCCAGAGACAGGGGACCTGAAGGGCACAGCAGACAGAGGCAGAATGGCCTGGGAGACCCTCAGTACAGCACTGAGAGAGGGACCAAGGGGTGATGAGCAGCTGGGGAGAGGAACCACTGCATCTAGAACCTGTGGAGTTAAAACATGCAGTTTCAAGTTCAAAGAAAGCAATGAAGAAGAAAAGTTGAAAGATGTAAAGAAAAGAGGAAGGAAAGAAGGGGGAGACACAAGGAGAGGAAGAACAAAAGGCATGGAGGGTAGGAGGGTGGAAGGGAAGTTACAACCTATAATCAGAAGGAGCAGGAGTTTGTGTTGGAGGTAGCACTGGCCCAGCACCCTCCGGGGACTTGCCCAGGGCCCTACAGAAGATCCAGGCCGAGCCGCAGGTCTCCTTCCGCACTCTGGGTTTCTCCAATGTCTGGCCGCAGAGTTCCCGCCCATCCACTCCGGGCACCAAATCCCAAGGCCGTCCTTCCCCGCCACTCCCCTCTGCGGGCAAATCCAGGAGCCGCCTTGGCAGGGAGGGCGGGGACGCTCAGCCTCCGCCAGCCGCCGGGGGGTGCGGGCTGCGGGCTGCGTCCTCCCGCTAGAGCGCCCCGGGAAGCGGGGCGATCGCGCTGCCCACCTGTGCGCCGCGCACCTCCACCGCCCGCCCCTTCGCCTTCAGTTTCCTCTCTCCCGCTCCCCGGAAACCTTCCGGCCGAGCTCTCTGGCCCGGGAACCGTAAAACTCCGAACCTGGGGTTTGTTGCGGCGACTTCGGCTGCTGCTTCTGCACTGCAGCTTCGGGGATGCTTCCGTCCGCCTGGATCTGGGGCAAGGCTTCCGGCGGTTGAGTCACGACCGTGGGATGGCGCTGGGCTGCGCAGTCTGTGACTGGGAAGCCCGGAGAGGCGCCCAGCCCCGCAGGGCCAGGCCTGTGCTGTGTGGAGGCGGTGACTGGGCAGGAGGCTGGAGCTGGGGTGGAAGTAAAGTCTGGTCCTCTGAGGAGGTGGTGCAGGGCTTCCCCAAGTAGGGAGCTGGAGGGTGACTTGTTTTCCCGAGTTCCTATGTGCAGTAGCTGTGTTTGCTGAGCAACTGGAGCTCAACCTCGAAAACGAAGCAACAGCAAATTTGAAAGCTATAGTTGCTAAGTCAGAAGAATCTCAAACTGTAAGGGCCACTAGTCATTAACCGGGTTTGACACACATCAGTGTGATAACATGCTAAATAAGTATAGCATAAGCATCTCGAAAATCTAAGCAGAAATGTAAAAGCATGTGTAAAGAAAACCTTTATATTAGAAATACACGTTTGTTCCACAAAGTTATTTTAGAAGGTAGTGATGGCAATGCGGTTAAATGTGCATGTTGTCTTACTTTAATGTTTTCACATAGTCATTTTAAGACCTTATTTTAAATTTCTACCTTTGAACTCATAACTCTCCTGGGAAAAAGGCTTCTCCGCATAGTTGATTAAAATACAGTAATAATAGCATTGATTTTTCTCTACTAAACTTGATTCTTGATTTTCAAAATACATACTGCTTAACTCTAAGTAAAATCTGTTTATTCTCTTGAAAACTAGTTCTTCATGCAAATCAATACTATTTATAAATTTTGTAGTTTAAATTTTTAAGTTTGGAGCTCACCAAACATTATTCATTTGGAGTATCTTTATGAAGGTTATAAATTTACATTTCCAAGTTTTAAAATATGCACGTGATAATTTTAACTTCTCCAGCAATTAAAATCATGTAATTAAGGAAAAGTACCCAAAGAATTGCTCTCAAAATGATCAGTCTCTAAAAAAAAAAAAAAAAAGGTGGTTACTCATTCATAGATACATGCACCTTGAAAGGCAATCAATCGTATTTTTTAAAAACACACTTGATAGATTTTTGTTGACAACACTTATTACCACAGTAGACATCAATGCATTTGAAACAATAGCCTTTTAAAAATAAAATTTAAAAATGCAACTGTGTAATTAACTTTTTAAACTACTATTGTGTGAGAAAATAACCATACTGTGGAGTTTTTCAAAACATATTGATGGCTGCTCTCTACTAATTAGAAGACATTATGAAAGTGCTGCTATTTCAGGTTCCAACTTACTATTTTGAAAAGCACAGTGATAGATCTCAGGAGCAGTGCTTCTCTGTGCCCAGAGAAATGGCCCAGAGAGCCAATCTGCTGTTCAGAACTCAGCATCTGATTTGGTTATAGATTAAAAACTGGTGGTCAGCTTAACACCAGTGGAATTAAATCACCGTGGTGCTGAGCATAGATGTTCCACCTAAGGAAAGCTACCAGCACAAATAGAGACATGGAAAAGGAGAAAGGAAGCATTGAGATATTGTGTTTTCTCTTAAGTGTTGCTGTGGTTGGTTCTCCTGGAGGAGCTCTGGTCCTTACATTGAGCATTGATTGCTTCCTGGTTTCCTCCGGAGGGGAAGACATGTGCTGTTTAATCTCCAGGACGAACTTGTCTTGCTGGGTTCCTGGCATGCACTATGCTTATCATCAGAGGAGTTCTGGTTCTTCATGTCGCTGAGGATAGCTGTGGTGGTTTTCAACAGCCCTGGTCTTTATTATGAGCGTGACTTCTCAGCTCCAGTGTAGAACCCTCATCCCACCAGCACAGCTCCTTCACCCTGCTAGCGTAGACTTTCTAGCTTCCACTGCTGACCTTTGGGCCTTCCCAGCAGGGATCTGTAAAAGAGACTGACATGAGTCCATACTGTGGGCTGTAGACCTCCAGTTGGACTAGTGGGAGGCATTGTCACAAGCTCTGGGTCTTCATCTGGGCTCATGCAGGACATTGCTGTGGGATTCAGGCCCTTGGTTAAATATTTTGTGTCTCTTGTGTTGTAGATAGATTTCCTGCAGTTTCTTGTGTTAATTCTGAATGACCATCATAAAATAATATTATAAACTCCATGTCCTGATTTTAATTGTTCTCCTTACAACCCCTGACTACCACATTCCAAGTCTTCACAGCTCTGATTCCAGAGGAATTGGAAAGACTAGTAAACAGAGACAAGGACAGACATCCAGTTCTGAGTTCACAGGATAATTTTGAAGAGCAGTTCTTGCTATCCAGATGTGTGTTTGATCCCTACTTGTCAGAGGGCTTTTGACACATTAATGATGTCTTAGTTACTTTTCTCATTGCTGGTACAAAATAGTATGCACTGCCTCTTATCTCTTTCTCATGTTTCATTTACTTTTCACTGGAGTTTTATATCCATCCCAGATTATCTAAAAAATACCTCACAAAATAGTCAGCAGATGTCAAAGAATATGCCCCAAGTGTTATTCTAATTTTACATATTCACATACTTTAGCAATTTGTCTTCGGCCTTCCCCACGTCGCCAGACCACCGTTTTTTCCCACCTTCTTCATTTTCAGATCTTGTTTCATTCTAACCTTCTTGTGTTTATACTGGTTATGCTTTTATTATAATACCTCAGCTATGCCCATAAGTTCAAGTTTTCAGCTTTTGGCCTCCGACCTCTCTCTGCAGTTTTGGACATCACTCATGTACTACTGGGCATCTCATAGAAACCAGAATCCTTTTGCTTTAACTAAATGATCAGAAGTCTTATCATTTCTACCGTCTCCACATTCTTGCCTTCTATCCTGTGTTTTTCTCTCTTCTCCTTCCCTCTTTCTCTCTTTCTTCCTCTCCTTTTTTCACATAGGTGATACATGGGGAAGTTATGCTGGAGGGGGAAGAATTCTAACCAGATTTTTTAGGTGGATGGGGAGATAGTAGGGATTGGACACTGGGCCTTGGCACTGAGCTGCATCCCTAGCTTATGTAGTTTATTTTGAGACGTGGTCTTGCTAAATTGCCCAACATGGGCTTGAACTTTCAATCTTCCTGCTTTAGCCTCCCAGAGTACTAGCAACACAGACACATGTGACAGGTCCAACTGGTAGCCCATTTTTTAATTGGGAAATTCAGTTTAAGAACTTGAAATTCCTCATTGCTGTCTCCTCTGTTATTATAAGCTCTGTGTTCTCATCATTGCTCTATTTTAGGTTTAAACTAGATATTTCTTGGCTGTAGAAGCTGCCAAGGCATTGAGAGTGCTCAGCAGTATAACTGCTCTCTTCTCCCTGAAAGACAGCAGCATTGTGTTCTCCTCTCAGTGTGTTTTAATTAAATTTTAGTTTTGGAACAGTCAGTTGTGGAGGAAGGCTTGGAGATACATCTTTTCCTATTGTCTCCATTGCTTTTCACATATGTTTATTAGTTTAAATATACCCTTCTGGTATTTTCTTTTTGTGTGTGTGCAAATAAGTGCATGAAACACAGAGAGAGAGACAGACAGACAGAGAGACAGACAGACAGAGACAGAGAGAGACAGACAGACAGAGACAGAGACAGAGAGAATGTGTGTAAGGCTTCCCCAGACTTTCCAGTTTGCTTCCATAGTTTCACGGCTGCTTGTTATGCACATAGATTACTGGCCCACTGCATTTTCCATGTTTTATGGCACATACTAATTCAATTTCAATTCATTTTCAAGGAGATTTTCAGTTGTTTCAGTTGTTCATTTAAAACTCTCATCTCAATAATAATATTTCACCTTTTATTTCATAACATATATATATATATATATATATATATATATATATATATGCTCGTATGTATTTCTGAACATTATGTTTGATTCCACTGGTCACACTTTTAATTATAGAGTTTTAATATATTTTTTTAAAAAATTAAGAGGAAGGCACAGAGACTTCCCATGTATAGCACTTGCAAGCCTTCTTGTCAAGACTGAGTGGGGCGTTTGTCACAGTCTCTGCATCCACACTGACACATTATACCCAAAGCCCATAGCTAGCGTAGGGTGGGCTTCAGTCTTGAGGGTGGCTATTTTATGGGTTTGGACAAATGCCTGATTCCGTACGTCCACTGTGACAGAGAGAGTGTATGCCCTGTCCTAGAACTCTGCTCTACTGAGCCACCCCTCCCTCTCCTCTATCCTCCCCAGATCGCTGGCACACATTGTTCTTTTTACTCTCTCTATAGTTTTCCTTTCCCGAAGTGTGCATATTAGGTTTTGAATATTCCAGTGATGTGTTAGTTACAGATTTATAGGAGATGATAAAGCAGCCAAACCCCACGCCAAGAACCAGAACACACACTGCGAGGTTGACTTGAGGGGCTTTAATCAAAATAA